GCTGGCTGGGGAATTGGCTCCGTGGTCGGACACAGAGGGTGGTGGTTGATGGAAGTCAATCGTCGTGGTGCCCTGTGACCAGGGGGTCCCTCAAGGCTCTGTCCTTGGTCCAAGACTATTCAACATCTTCATTAATGATGTGGACATTGGTATCAGAAGCAGACTGGCCAAGTTCGCCAAAGACACCAAACTCTGGGGTTAAGCGTCCACACCTGAGGATAGGAGGGTGATCCAGGCTGACCTTGACAGACTCAGGAAATGGGCTAATGAGAACCTGATGGTGTTTAACACTGAAAAATGCAAGGTTCTCCACCTTGGGAAGAAATACCCACAGCATGCTTATACCCACCAGGCAGCCTACCCCGCCCGCCTGCCTGGTGCATCATGCCAGTCTGTCTCCCCACTGGACTGCGGCCTGTGCCCCTGCCTGCCTGCCTCTGTCTGCAGCAGTGCTGCTGATGTGCAGGGAAGCCACATGGGAGAAACCAGGGGGAATACTGAAATACTGAAATGCAAGGTTCTCCACCTTGGGAAGAAAAACCCGCAGCATGCCTATAGGCTCGTGAGAGCTACGCTGGCTAGCACGATGGACGAAAGGGACTTTGGCGTCATGACTGACCACAAGATGAACATGAGTCTTCAATGTGATGCTGCAGCTAGTAAAGTGAGCAAAATGCTGGCTTGTATCCATAGATGCTTCTCAAGCAAATCCCAGGATGTCATTCTCCCATTGTACTCCTTCTTGGTGAGGCCGCAGCTAGAGTACTGTGTCCAGTTTTGGGCTCCACAATTCAAAAAGGATGTGGAGAAGCTTGAGCGGGTGCAAGAAGCTTGAGAGGGTGCACTGGAGAGCCACGTGCATGATCAGAGGTCAGGAAAACAGACCTTATGATGAGGATCTGAGAGCTATGGGACTCTTCAGCTTGGAAAAGCGAAGGCTCAGGGGTGATCTGGTGGCTGCCTATAAGTCTATCAGGGGTGCTCACCAGGATCTGGGGGAACATCTGTTCACCAAAGCACCCCAGGGGATGACAAGATCAAATGGTCACAAACTCCTTCAGGACTGTTTCAGGCTGGACATAAGGAAGAACTTCTTTATAGTCTGAGCCCGCAAGGTCTGGAATAGACTGCCGCTGGAGGTGGTTCAAGCACCCACTTTGAACACCTTCAAGAGAAATTTGTATGTCTATCTTGCTGGGATCCTATGACCCCAGCTGACTTCCTGCAC